AAGGACTCTGTTCTAGACAAGGGATGTCTTCTGTAGCAGTTAAAAAGCTGTCACGGGATGAAGAACATTGCAGGTGTTGTCAGATGCTTGTGCCTCCACGACCCGAAACGACCAGCGCTGATCGAAACTGACCGTACTGATTCATTCGCCATACTTCATTCATGGTTTCTCTACGGCAAAGAGTGCCCAGTGACAAAAGTACGAAACTGCGCGGCAGCGCGAAATATAGAGCGGTAGCTACAGAGCCATGCAATAGCCTTGAACTATCGTCCACTCAGATATTATCTATTTTTCTACCCTTCCATCTGTCTGTGGCCAACTCATCCATCCATCTACCCAACCATTTATCGTCTGTCTGTCCATCGATCCGTCTATCTACATATCTATCCGCTTATCCGTCTATCTGTTTATCTATTCATCATCTATTTGCCAACCATTCATCTACCCAAGTATTGCCTAAATCTAAATGTGTATCTATATACCCATTTATCTGTATATCTATCCTTCCATCTGTCTGCCTGTTTACACGTATCTTAAGGAGCTCTCCATTTCAGAGATCCGCTAGAATGTTTCTGCACATTTGCTGGTTAGCTGTTGTCAGTTTTAGCTTGCTTAAACTAGGCGCAAAGTTTAAATTTATGAAATTTAAAAGCGAAAATTTATAGCACACTATATGCCCGCATATTAATTAGATGCGGCCATGTGCAGAATCATGGTATTCAATATTTGTCCTGCTGAGCTTGATTTCAACTCGGTCTCCGCACACAAATCCAGGTACTACAGCTTCAAAGGCCGCCGTCCAAGCGACACCACAAGAGCAAGAAGAAATCGTTTCGTCTGACTCGAGATGGGCATTTCTGCCCCGAACCAGCAGCCTGCATTAAGCCTCGATTTTTGCCGTCCTTCAGAAACGTTGAGAATGAGGAGATCGAAAATCGCCCAAGCTCCTACCGACATCGTGAAATTTAAATGATGTTTGCGTTTACGACAGTTGGTTTTAAGCGGTTTAGTTAGACATCCGCAGCTTTCAGTGGTTTCGCCAAATGCCAAAAATCTCACGTCTCCAAATTTAGCTCGTTTGCTGTGCGACTGTGATTTGACAACAAATAAAATTTCGCATAGTTCAACAACGTAAATTTAGACTTCTTTTTCTGCATAACTTAAAGCTCTAATATTCCGAAAACTGGTAAGGATTCAAGTCCTTAGACAATGAAGAGTCAGGACACCTGTTTCAAATAAACAGTGGAAAAAACGAACGTTTAAACAGCTGTAGAAGAAAATCATTTCGCTGCCTGTTTGAATAACAATTAAAGATCCTCGATCCACGGTTTAAAGCAACAACTGAAATTTTTGTTTTGAACCATGGATCGAGAGAAGATGAATTAAAAAACGAGATTATACTTTTTAGGAAAATCTGAAACATAATTTGTTAGTCATACTTTTCATTGAAAATAAATAGAGGTGCTGTATAAAGTATTCAGAAGCTTCACTCATGGAGACTACACAGAAAATCGAGGTTATATTATTGTTATATCGAAGTATTCTTGTTCATTTTAATTGATAATACAGCTGGTTAACAAAGGTTTTATCGTAAATCAGATATTCACTGCATCCATATTTTAGAACAAAGCAATACAAAGCTGTGAAGCTAGAACTTAACGCAACAACGGCTTGTTCGAGCACGTCTACGCAGACGGCAATTTTTAACATACTGCCCGTTACCTAGGCGGCGGTGGTTTTGCTCTGGTCACCAGCTGATTTTGTGGCGTTCACTTGTTTTTCGTTTCTTCCGTTTGTGCGTATCTGACCACTTGATTTTTTAGATATTGCCTGACATTCTCTGAGATGGCGGAGTGAGCAGCAGACGCTTTTTCGTAAATCTCGATAAACTGGTTGCCTTTCCAGAGCAGGCCGATTTTCAGGTCCTCTTTGTTCGAGCGCATGAACTTGATCATCTTATTCAGGAAGTCGTGCACCTTTGATAGAGAGACATACGGTATCGGCTTAACGAGCTTGTTGATCTCCTGCAGGTTGTAACTGGCCGGTGGCTTCTCGAAGTCACCGTTACCCTGCCACCAGCCGACGACCATGTTCTGCATGCCGGAGAAGAACAGCAGGGGCCAAGCGAACGACGGGAACCCACGCCGCTGAGGAAAGGTGGTGAGGGAAATCAATGGAGCGGAAGTCGGCTGACCCATCTTCATGTAAGCCAAGCTCCCGTACGAGAATGTATTCACTTCCGGGCGCTTCGAATCGTCGATCACCGGCCGCTGGTCACCATAGTTAGCGCAGTCCGTTTCGAACCGGACTAACATGTTGATGTCGCCGAACTTGTAGCTCACGATCTGGTAATGGGGGCCATCCAGAATGGGGGTGAGCGGCTTGGCACATTGCTTTTTCATGTTTTCGTCGAACGAATCGAAATCTATAGTGATGACGTCAGCCCCCTCAACCCTATTAGCGATTACCATCCGACCAACGCGTTCCAGGTCGACGCGAAACACACCGCCTTCATCCTCACCCTTGCAGAAGGCAAAGATCTTCCTCAGGTTAATGCAATCCGTGATGATATCGTATTCCTGGAAGTTCACTTCCTGCCCCGCATCTTGGGCAGTCAACTTGACCGCCTCGAACACGGGGTCCATTGGACCGTCTGGCAACAACAAGTGGTTCAGGTCGTAGATCATCTGACCGCTGTCCGGCGGCAGATGACCACCATTCCAGTAAACGAACTCCTTCGGATAGCCAGGTATGACCATCGTCGGTTTGTGGTCATCACTTTCCGATTTAGCCCAGTTGTAAGACGATACCTGACGAAAATCTTTCAGCTTCGATGGGCCACCCTTGGCATTGAGGTTACTCAGAGGCAGCGTTCCATACGGCTCCACGCGGAGGTTCTCGAACAACCAAGCACAAGACATTTCAGAAGATGGTAACGAAATGTTGACGCTGGAGCGAGGAGGAGGCACACGTAGGCGGCCGTAGTGTCGACTCTCTCACAACATGTGTGCAAGTTTCGCGTCTCTAAGGAGGCAAGAACGAACGGTGAGGCATCGGCATTGTTGATGATGACACATCACTCTGCGATGAGGCCATTCGGCAGGTCTGCGGCTGAGTAGCTAGCAAACGACCGCGATTCACTCCATGCCAGCGTGGCAACAGGCGCGCTGGCAAACTACCACGACTGCTGCTGCTACTGCTGCTTTCGGCTGCCGCCATCAGGCACTCACCACTGCCTCGGTGTTGCCAAGCGTCCAAGCGGTATCGACACGCTTTCCTTCACTCCTTGTTTGCGTTTTAAAATGACCGATCGTCGATTACTCGAAAAAGAGACGAAAAGCCGGCACTTTTGACAGATGAGTCTCCAGACCTTGCTGAGATCAGTTAGTTTTCTGGATGCGCAGTTGCTGCTGAGCAGCCGAAACAACAAATATCGAACAGACGCCTCTGACCTCAAGCGAACTGCGTCTTAGCTGATTTGCCATCGTGCTTAGGTCAAGAATGGGTTCTCTGAGGTTGTTTTTCGCTTTGCAGAATGATTGGCGATACTCGGAGTTATCGGGTTCGATTCTGGCGGAGGAAAGTCTTTGTCTTAAATTCTTTTGTGCAGGGAATTTACTACTGTTGCTTCAGACCAGGGTGGTTCAGCCGGTAGAGCGTTTGAGACTAAGAAACTAAGAACCGAAAGGATTCGGGTTTGATTCCTGGTAAGGGTCACTCGCCCTTCTTCTTTCCGAGGTTTATAAATGAGTACCGCCATGTGCGAGGAAACATGAGGCCACCCACTCTGTTTACCACGTGGATGCTGTGGACTATATGAAATAAGGCGTTCCTTAATGATGGCATAAAAAGTTATAACAAGTTAGCTTCATCATTAACTTCATGCAAGGAATGACGCCAGAAATGGTTCCACCACGAAAGTGTAAAAAAGACCGACATTTCAACAATAGAAACTTACCTTTCCTTCCTTAACATTCGTGATGTCTACTCAACTGAGCATTTCGCATATTGATATTATGAACCATTTACTACGCCAGCGAAGGTAAGGTTCCCTGTCGATATTAGATTCTAGCTTAGTTTTCTTTTCCATGCGATGTGCTGGCTACTTGTCTTTTGTCGACTATGTTTCGGCATTTAGGTCAGAAGCTGACGAGCCAGTGGACTGGTCGCTTTCGTACAGATCATCTAACTATGTCATCTTTCTGTCTCAGATCTTTAAAATACTTATACCAGATTTATAGGGCGAATATACATCTGTCTCTGAGCTTCTCCAATGTTTCGTGGAGGTGAGCCCACGTGAAAATGTTGCCATTCTTCATACAATCGCACTATCTGGTCCTCAGAATATGTCGAAACCAATGCGGTAGGAGGTTGTTCAGTCGGCAGTCATGTCCACATGTCTGTTGTTTCCGGTTCGTAGAGCGAAACTGACATGAGAACAACGCGATTATTGTTTTTGCTGCAAACCGTTATTCTCTTTCCAACCCAATTTTCGAGATGTTTCTGCAGGTGAATCAAGATGGCGGAATCCTCCTTTACAGGTTCTGACCATTTGCCATCGTTGGAGGTAGATAAAATGACGGACATCTTCAATGGTGCTGTTTCAGTAGTATTCATAAGGTCACATTTTCTTCAGGATTTCTCATTACCTTTCATGAAGAATTTTCTGTTTCATTCAAGGCATATTATGACATATTACCGCTGAATTAACGTTACCCCATCACGAAAGGGTAGATGCATAATGTACGTATAGTGATCCTGATCTCGTACCATCCTTCTACTATGAACGTATGTTCATTATATGATGTCTTCCGTACAGCATCGTTTCTTCCATCCTCTTGGCCTTATATTTAATGAGATATCATCTTAAATTCAAGATATTCAAATGATGTCATAAATTTACATATTTTACCCTGAGTTAGCCGTTTCACTGAAATACAGCCTAAACAAAGTTTATTAAAACAAGATGCGGTACAGTGATCTAGTGGATGATAGACTGATATCTACATTCGGGCCAGTATCTCATGGGGCATTTCAAGAGAGAGGTGACTGTGGCTTTCTCTCGGCGAAGTCGTCAGCAACGCCTGCATCGTTTGTAGCCAGGAATTTGTGTTTCTCTTAATAAGATCTTACATAAGTTGATTGACTTGATCGTTGTTGGTCACCAGCGATGCCTCAGGAGCCGGTACTCCATATGTACTTTCATAAAAGAAAAATATTGGCTGTTTCGTTGGAGCATGTTAAAAGGCGCATAACTTTCGCGAAACCAGATTTCACGTCATATGTCTCCAAGATGCCTCGCGGACCAACTTTCTGATACGTGGCTGAAGGTGAGCAAGGTATTATTATAACCAATAAAATGATGCACTACAAGCACTCATACATCCTCGACCTCTAGCCTGCTAGCATCGTATCCTAGGCACATAGGAACAAGACAGTATTAAAACATGCCTAGAAATCCGTCTTAGTTGGAGCTAGTCGATTATGTATTTCAGACAATGTACTGCACGTTTTGAGAGTAAAAGCAGACGCAATAAAAATTCTTTACTAGCAAAATAAATAATGTCGTGGGATACTGTAACTTTTTGAGTCCAATATCAAATCCTGGCGAAATAGAAGTTGTAAGAGCGAAGGACGATTAATGAAACTTTAGAGAGATTGAAAAGGAATAAATTCGGGTCTTCCATGAGGTCACGTGGCATCATCATGCCACTGCTCTTTTCTACATAGCAACGGCTCTATGTATGTCATGCTAACTCTGAGAACGGCATATATTGATTGTTGATGCCGGTACCAGTGACTTCACACTTTTGAGGTTGTTGAGATTATCACTTTTGAACATTTTCGTACGCAGAACGCCGATGGTTTGTGATGTTCTATGTATTTGCAGCTTCACGACATTTTACGCTTGCTATGCAGCGCCGGTTGCTTCATCGCAGAAGAAAACATTCCTCCCTT